AAGGGTGTTTGGGCTTTTTTGTGGCTAAAATTAATAATTAACAGGGGAAAATGTATAAATTTAGTATAAATTCAAAATCCGAAATATAAATGTTAATATGTGATATACAATCTAAAATACAAGGTATGCTCTTTCGATAACTTTAAAATACATGAGTAGAGATGACAATTCATATGGGCGGATTATATTAGTGTCGGGATGAGTCAATATTTGCATAAATCACCCCAACCCTAACAAAATCCGAGACACGAACAGGTGGAGAACAACCCTAACAGGACATGTCCTAACAAGGGTTGTCTAATACTACCAACATGAACTCGTTACTTTTATGACCTGCAACCCACGATCAACTTACAATGCATTCAATCCGAAATCAACTCACTCGCCAATGACTCCTGACTTTTTGTTTTTTTACTCCAAATCTACAATTTTACTATAATTACATAAAAAAACAACATTAACGCATGTCCTCAAAATTAAATCAATTTCGTACTAGAATAACTAATTAAGTCCTAAAAGTAGGAGATAAATATTTCAAAATAATAAAGTAATTAAGTAGGTTAATTTAGTGTGTTGATACAAATATATGACTCAATTTTAACGAGTCAATTTTGGCTGAGAAAATTATAAAATTTATTCTTAAGAGTGCATGAGTCTGGATTTTTACTCTTTACTCATAATTAATACCCTTTTATTAATGTAATTATTTGACTAAAAAAGTTATTAATCTAAGCAGTATTTGTCAAGATTACTTATTTTAGTTGACACTAATATGACCCGTGGCTTACTTTTTCATTATTAACTTACAAAATATAGTGACGAGTTTATGTTGTATCTTCGTGTCACAACTCGTATTGACAACACTAAGACAATACTAACAGTTAATGTATAATTGAGTTGTGCCTGAAATCACTTTGCTTCAATCTCTAAATACCTACTCATGCTTTGATTTGAACAAAAATTAAAATATCCATTCACAGAGGACAAAATCAGATTGTATAACTATAAAGAAGAGCCTGAAAATGCCATGAGAAATATTGAATACAAAGGGATGGTTTTATTCAGACAAAAACAATAAAGAAGAGCCTGGAAAGAATTAAATAACACTGAATATAAAATACATTGTTTCATTTAGCAAAAAAATAAAATATGTATCTGGGTACGGTTTTAATGGTTAGTTTAAAATTTACCCATCAATAGATATTATTATTTTGGGAAAATTTTATTTTAATATTCTGTGTTATATCGAAATATGAGTTTGGTATCTTATGTTTTAAATAATTTCATGCCGGTACCTCTACCTTTTAGAAAATCTTCTTTTAATATCTCAAGACAGTTTTTGGGACATGAAAATACAA